AGCCAGGAGCCCGCCTCTGCGGAGGCCCAGCCGGGCGCCGAGTGGGCGCGCCGGGCCGAGGGAGGGGCCTGCGACCAATGGAGCCGCCTGTGCCCGTCCGCCCCTCCCCAGACCGCTACTTAAGTGGCTCCCGATCCACCCCCGCCTCAGTGCGTTACTTACCTCGACTCTTAGCTTGTCGGGGACGGTAACCGGGACCCGGTGTCTACTCCTGTTGCCTGCGCCTGCTGACCCGTAGCCACCATGGTGAGTGGACCGCCAGCCTAGCTCCGGAAAACGGGGAAAAGCGAGCCGGAGGAGCGCAAAGGGCCTATAGCTAGCAGAGGGCTGAGGCCAGCGCTGTCCATTTGGAGGGCGAGGCGGGAGGCGACGGTGAGAGTAGATAGACCCCGGTTTTTGGAGAACAGCTGGGGCCCAGAAAAGGAGAGGGAGGCACTGCGTTTTCTTCTGGAACGCAGGGAGGAGATGGCGGGGCACTCGCTCTCCTCCATCACGGTTGGAGCTCTCATTTATCTCTTAACTCCCGGGCGCGGCGCCCCAAGACCCTGCAGTCTTTTCCCGCGCCTTCCCATCCCCCCTTTACCCGCTGCCTCAGGCGAGCGCGCGCGCGGGCTCTCCCCGCCCTCACTTCCTCCTCAGCACGAAGTGCGGAGGCGGGAAAGAGCCGGACACAAAAGCGCACGCGCGACCGTTACCTTCCCGCCAGGGAGTGGCGGGAGACCGCCACTGCAGTGGGCGCATGCGCGCTGGGACGCTGCGGGTCCGGCTGGAGGGCGTGTCTCCTGTTACCCTGAGTGGTTTTTTGTTATTAATAAAAGTATCAAGATGAATGTAGAGACGAGCGCCTTTTCAGCGTGCTGCACTCCGCCAGTGTATTAGGACAACTAGTTCCCAACAGCCTGTAGAAGCCATCTGCCCCTCCCTGGCCTCAGCTGCGTTAGGAATGCGTGTGGGAGCAGGTGGTGGCAGTGAAGGGTTTTGAGGGAACAGAAATCGGATCTTGGTCCAGATCTGGGCCGCCGATAATCCCCTGCTGCGCCCTGACAGATGTGGAGGTGTTGGATTGAGCCCAGCGCCTGCGGGAAGCGGAGGATGGTGGGCTATGGTTTCGCCTCTGCAGACGTGGCTGTTGCGGGCCTCTGCAGCTGCGCGGCTCCGCCAGCCGCAGCGGGGCGCCGGCTGGCGGGCGCGCGCGCGCGCACACCCTGAATTGCTCATTCATCCTGTGCCGCAGAGCCCCGCCCCTGGTCTCTGCGGCCAGACATTTCCGCTGCACTGCTCTGGCCACGTGCTTCCTGTGCTGGGAGCTGCCCGGAAATCTGGCCAACTACTCTAAAAGGGGATTCTGGGGTCTGAGTGCTAGATGGACGGCCTCTTCCCTATCTTGAACCTCCAAAGGAGGAAGCTGTGACTAAGCTCGCTTCGTGGTCTGAAAAGAGGCCTTCCCAATTTAGAGAGGAAAAGGAAATTAATTAAAAGCAATTTAGATTAAAAAAATTTTTTTTAAATAGGGGGAAAAAAGCAATGTAGTCGAAAGTTCTCCTCTGGCTGGGAAAGAAGCAGTACATTTTAATTCATTTTAAAAGAGGAATTTATTAATTTTTTCTCTTTGCCACAGCG